TTTGCGTTACCGACCGCTCTTTATTTGGCGTCTCTGGGCCTTCTTGGGGGTCATATTGGGGCCCTTTTCGGGCCCTTTTGGAAGCCTCTTGGGAACCTCTTGGGGGCCTCTTGAGGCTTCTTGGGGGGCTCTGGGGGCGTCCTGGGAGCTTCTTGGGCCGAAAGGCTAGACTTTTCGGCTCGTGGTCCCCCCCTTGGGGCCGTCTTGAGGCCCACTTGGGCCGTCTTGAGCGCCTCTTGGGCCGTCTTGGGGCCCTCTTGGGCCGTTTTGGAGGCCTCTTGGGAGCCTCTTGGGCCGTCTTGGGGTGGTCTTCGGGGCCTTGTGGACCGTCTTCAACGCCGTGAAAGCCGAAAAGCCGTGCATGCTAAAAATGCACGTTTCCGAAAGGAAATCAATGACTTTGGCCTCCTGGCGGCCTCTTGCGACGCCTCTTGGGGGCCTCTTGGGGCTTCTTGGGGGGCTCTTGGGGCCTCCTGGGAGCGTCTTGGGGCGAAAGGCTAGACTTTTTGGTTCGTAGTCCCCCTCTTGGGGCCGTCTTGGGGCCCTCTTGGGCCGTCTTGGGCGCCTATTGGACCGTCTTGGGGCCCTCTTGGGCCGTTTGGGGGGGCCTCTTGGGAGCCTCTTGGGCCGTCTTGGGGCGGTCTTGGGGGCCTCCTGGGCCGTCGTCAACGCCGTGAAAGCCCCCAAGCCGTATGTGCTAAAAGATGCACGTTTTCCTGCGGAAGATCAATGATTTTGGTCTCTTGGGGCCCAATTGGGACGCCCCTTGGGCGCCTCTTAGGGGCCTCTTGGGGGCCTCTTGGGCCGTCTTGGGCGGTCTTGGGCGGTCTCGGAGCGCTCTTGGGCCGTCTTGGGGGGGAACCCTAAAAACATGCAAAAACCCGAAGGAAAACCCGAAAACGGCCATTAACACTCATTCGTTCGCGCTACCCACCCACCCTGGAATCCCCCCTTCAGGGGCTTCGCCCAAAACACAACGTCATCACTCGTACCTCGCTCTTTCCGTTAACCCGAGGGAAAACCCGAAAACGGCCATTAGAGCCCATTCCCCCTGCCTACCCCCTCCCATGGAACCCCTCCCTTTAGGGCTTCGCCCACACCAGAACGTCATCACTCGTACCTCGCTCTTTCCGTTATCCGCCGCCCCCTGTCGATTCATCGCAGGGGTGCCTGGCGTGCTGGACTATTACGGTTTTGGTTTTGGTTCTTTTTCCAAAGGAACTCCCCCTGGGGCTCCGGCGCGTCCTGCCGGGGTCCCGGGACGCTTGCCCAAAGGTGGCTGCAAAGCCCCAAAAACGGCCGTTTCGCGAGGGACATCCTCAAAACATCGCGAAGATGGCCCAAGATGGCCTCCAAGATGGACCAAGATGGCCTCCAAGTCCGCCCAAGAGGGTCCAAGACAGCAAGAGAGTCCAAGACGGCCCAAAACGGCCCAAGAGGCCCCCCAGAGGCCTCGAAGGTCCAAGAGGCCTCCAAGAGGTCCTCCAGGAGGGCCCGAAGAGGCCAAAATCAGTGATTTTCCAGAAAGGTTTTTGAAGGATTCTGGAATTTGCCTCTTCTCGGCATTCCGACGGCTCAAGACGGCCCAAGAGGCCCCCAAGATCGCCCAAGAGGCCCCCAAGAGGGCCCCATGACGGCCCAAGTGGCCTCCAAGACGGCCCCAAGAGGGCCCCGAGACGGCCCAAGAGGCCTCCAACACGCCCAAGATGGCCTCCAAGACGCCCAAGAAGGCCCCCAAGACGGCTCCCGAGGGCATCAGACGTGCCAGGAACCCACCAAGATGGCCGAAGTTGGCTCGAAGCTGGCCCAAGACGGCCCAAGAGGCCCCCAAGAGGGCCTCGAGGAAGGCCAAAAGAGACCAAAAACAAGATGGCCTCCAAGATGCCTCCAAGACGGCCAAGATGGCCTCCAAGACGGCTAAGATGGCCTCTTCAAGACGCCTCCAAGACGGCCCAAGATGCACCCAAGACGGCCTAAGATAGCCTCAGCCTACGAGGCCCCCAGGAGGCCTCCAAGACGGCCCAAGACTGCCCAAGAGGCCTCCAAGAGGTCCTGCAGGAGGGCCCGAAGAAGCCAAAATCATTGATTTTCCCAAGGTGTTTGAAGGATTTTGGCATTTGCTTCTTTTCGGCCTTCCGACGGCTCAAGACGGCCCAAGAGGCTCCCAAGATCGCCCCAAGATCGCCTACGAGGCTTCCAAGATGGCCCCATGACGGCCCAGGAGGCCCCCAAGACGGCCCCAAGAGGGCCCCAAGAGGCATCCAAGACGGCCAAGATGGCCTCCAAGACGGCCAGGATGGCCCAAGATGGCCTCCGAGATGGTCCAAGATGGCCTCCAAGTCCGCCCAAGAGAGGAGAAGATGCCTCCAAGTCCGCCCAAGAAACCTCAAGACGGCCCAAGAGGCTCCCAAGATCGCCCCAAGATCGCCTACGAGGCTTCCAAGATGGCCCCATGGCGGCCCAAGAGGCCTCCAAGACGGCCCAGGAGGTCTCCGAGAGGTCCTCCAGGAGGGCCCGAAGAGGCCAAAATCATTGATTGTCCATTGGTTTTTTAATGTTTTCGTATTTGCTCCTTTTCAGCTTTCCGACGACCCAAGACGGCCCAAGAGGCCCCCAAGATCGCCCACACAGCGCCCAAGAGGCCTCCAAGATGGCCGCAGGACTGCCCAAGAGGCCCCCAAGACGGCCCAAAGGGGGCACAAAGACGACCAAAGAGGCCTCCAAGACGCCCAAGATGGCCTCTAAGACGGCCCTGGAGCACCCCAAGAGGGCCCCAAATCGGCCCAAAGAGGCCCCCCAAACGGCTTCCGACGGCGTCAGACGGGCCAAGAGCCCACCAAGATGGCCGAAGTTGGCTCGAAGCTGGCCCAAGACGGCCCAAGAGGCCTCCAAGAGGGCCTCCAGGAAGGCCAGAAAAAGCAAAAAACATGAACTGTCCTTCGGTTTTTGAAGGTGTGTGACATGTGCTTCTTTTCGGCCATCCGAAGGCCCAATACGGCCCAAGAGCCCTCGAAGATCGCCCAAAGATCGCCCAAGAGGCCTCCAAGATGGCCCAGAACGGCCCAAGATGGCCCATGACGGCCCAGGAGGCTTTTAAGACGCCCAAGATGGCCTGCAAACGGCCCTGGAGCATTCCAAGAGGGCCCCAAGTCGGCCCAGAGGGGGCCCCTAAACGGCTTCCGACGGCGTCGGACGGGCCAGGAGCCCACCAAAACGACCGAAAATGGCCCTAAGATGGCCCAAGACGGCCCAAGGGGCTTCCAAGATGGCCTCCAGGTAGGCCGAAAAGGTCCAAATCATTGATTTCCCATGAGTTTTTGAAGGATTGTGGCATTTGCTTTTTTTCTGCCTTCCGACGGCCCGAGACAGCCCAAGTACACCCAAAGATCGCCCAAGAGGCCCACGACGGCCCCCAGAGGCCCCCAAGACGGCCCAAGAGGCCTCCAAAACGCTCAAGATGGCCTCCAAGACGGCCCAAGAGCCCTCCAAGACGTCCTCCAAGCAGGCCCGAAAGGGTCAAAATGGCCTCCAGGCGGCCAAGATGACTTTCAGGATGCCCACGTGTTCCCCGAAGGCTTTCCAAACCGATTCGGGGAACACATGGTCCGATAGCTTGGCAGGTCTGGCCTCAACGTTCGGCCACATAGGCGCTTCCAAAAAGGCAGGGGGCGGCAGTGATTCGCCGTAGGCGTCTTAGATAAATTCAGGACAAGTACTTTTCAAAATGTGGATTTCGCTTTGGCGCCGCGCGCACTCGTCTTCAAAATTGGCAACAGTTTCACGGATGGACGGCGGTTCCCTCTCAGTGTGGCGCTCGCCTTCGCGGCGCGCACATTCGCCTTCAAGTTTGCAGCGGCATCGAAGATTCACATGGCACGATTTAGGATTGTCCGGGCGACACAGTCACCTTGATTCGCGGTGCCGAATCTCAGGAATGGTGTTCTGTCACGAGCTCGGATTGTCAGGACGCGACAGTCACGAGGCTTCGCGGTGTTGAAGTCCTAGAACTGGTGCTGTGGCACGATTGAAGATTCTCCAACGGTTGTCTTCCAATGGGGCGCATCCCGCAATGACAGAAAATTCTTGTCGGGACCTATGAAGGCGGAACTTGAAGGGTGTGCTGCGACATCGTTGACGCGTCTTGGGTTTACACTGGTCCTCCTCCTCATCGTCCTCCTCATCCTCCTCCTCCTCGCGCCTGGCCTGCGCAGGCCCTGACGCGCCTGACACACTGGAAGCAGCAGGCGCAGCACGGGCACAGACGGAAAGTGGGAGCAGAAAGCGCGGGACCGGCAATTCGGAAGCAGCAGCAGCGGCAGCAGCGGCAGCAGCGGCAGGGGGAGGCGGCATCCCGAGGAGGCGCCTCGGAAGCCCATGCTCTGGCTACCTCTCCGAGAGGGCACCCACGTGAGCAGCAGCCGGGGGACTGCCTGCACGACAGGCGCACGTGCATGGGCCTCGATCCCGAGCGAGCTGGAGGCCGCGAGCGCCTCGCAGCGCGAATCTCCACGACAGAAAGGGCCCCCGGCCCTCTCGGCAGAGGCAGCCGCCCCCGGCAGAGGCAGCCGCCCTCGCCGCCGCGCCCACTCCCGGGGCACGAGCGCCCCCAGGCCACCGGCCGAGGGCAGGAGGCGCTGCCCCGCGGGCGCCGGCGGGTGGCTCGCAGGAGCTCTGCGCGCGCGGCGGCCCGTGATCTCGACGAGACCAGTGCCGCTGCCACTGCCCCTCCACTCGCGCTCCTGCCCCGGCCTCTCGTCCTCTTCCTCCACTCCTCCCTTCCTCCCTTGCCTCCTCTTCCCTCCCGTCCGTCCCCTCCCCCGCCTCCTTCCCCCTTTCCCCTTCCCCTTGCTCCCCCCCCCCTCCCCGGTAATCACCCGCCTTCCCTCCCCCCGCTGCCTTCCCCCTCCCCCTAGCATCCCCAGCCCGGGACGCACCTCGTGCACAGACTGCCGCACTGGCCCCCTCGGCTGTTCGCTCTGTCCCTGCCCCGGCCGCCGCGCCCTGGGAGACAGCGGCGGCTTCGTCGTGTCGCTGGCAGCCGCTGTTTGCGGAGACGACAAACACGGGAGAGCAGGCGGAGACACGCGGCCGCAGGCGCAAGAACGCGGCAAAATCGGGCAGCAAACGGAAGGGCTGAAGGGCGTGTCGGGCACTCACTCAGCAGCCGAGGCTGCGTAGCGCAGGGCTCGCCTCTAGGGAGCCCCGCTACACGGGGGCCCGCGAAGGGGGCATTCCTGAGCGAGAGAAACGTGACAGATGGAGACACACGCACGCACGGCAGGCGTAGAGCACTGACGTGATCGTTCACCGCCGCTCCACGGCAGCAAGACCTGAGAGAAGAGGACGCGGGGGGAAACAAGGCGACTGGGGATACAGCGTTGAGTCTGACCCTGCCCGTCGGCCACGGTTGAACACTGACGGTTTGCTTCGGTGTTTCGATTCTTGATTTTGTTTGGCCGAGCTGGTGTCCCCCACCGCCGCCAGCTGCAGAGCCTTTTGGTGCAGAAGGGCCGTAGCGTCCCCCAAAAAAATCACGTGGGCGGCCTCAACGCCCTGGCGCCGCCCTGGCGCCGCCCTGGCGCCGCCTCCGACGGTGCCCGCGGGGCGCTCCGCGCCCCAAAGGCGGGGTTGTTGAGACCGCCCCGGACTACTCGGGGGGCCTGTTGAGGCCAGAGCCGGGACTGGCTGGACTAAGAAGAGAGACCGCAGACGGGCGAGCGCCGCCGACCCACGTCTAGCAGGTCTGTGTCGTAGCGACGTGTGGGCTGGTCTGTGACACCGCGTGGACGGCTCAACCTTGAGGGATCGCGGCTTTCCGATCTCGCAGGAACCTTTGGTACGTATCGGCCGAGAACACCCGTGCTGGGATCGCCGCTGCGTCGGCATGGCACGACCCTACCGCACTCGCGCCGAGCCCCCGCGTAGAAGCCCCAGGCAGCACTGGATTACCCAAAATGGCAGTACGGCCCACGGTCAAGATAAGGGTCCTTGGCTTGCATCGGCAGCAGCGACGGAGGCAGACTGGGAGGACGCCGACAGTACACCCGCACCGACCCTAGCCAGGCCCATCATGGACCCAGGAGTGGTGAAAAGGATTCAGCGGCCGACACCAATTCTGGACTCAGCACCGGCCTGGCCATGATCGATATCGCTGTATAAGCGCCCCACGACGGACGGGTTCCTGGAAACAAGCTCCACGGACCTCCCCCGGGTGCGTTCTGACCAGTAATCGAGACGAACCCCAGCAGTGGCGGCGAGGGCCCGCTGAGAGGACAAAGAAGACAAAAACGAAAACGAGGCAAGGGCATCGGCACTGGAATGTCGGCATGTCCCTCATCCTTCTCCTCTTCCTCCTCCTCCGCCTCCTCCTCCTCCTCCTCCTCCTCCTCCTCCTCCTCCTCCTCCTCCGCCTCCTCTTCTTATTTTCCCTCCTCACCCTCCGTCCGACCACTCAGAATTCGTCCCAGATCGGCTCCTGACGTCCCAAGGGCTCCCAGAGACCGAGCGCAAGCACCGCCCCCGAAGCTTGCAAGCTGGAGGCCTCCCAAATGGGATCCGAGTAAATAGGGTCGCACGATCGCGCCGCGTCGCCGATGCATCGCAGATGCATCGGCCATGCATCGGCGACGTCGGCGACGGCGCCATCGGCGTGAAGAAAATCGAGGTTCCACACCGACCCACACATGCGGAGCGGATCTAGCGTCACGAAAACATGCAACATTGTGAAAAAAATCGACCAGAGCCCTGGACCCGTGAAAAAATGCAACGCCTCGATCTCACGGAACGCGCCCCAGGTAGGTGCTCCGAAAGCCGGAAGCCGGGGCGACCTGTGCGGTGAGTTGATGGTCTGGTGAACCGTCTCCACGGGACTTGGCGCGGGCTCCAGCGGCGCCGTCTGCCTGAAGCGCGCGCGCGCCCGCCCCCAACCGCCGATGCCGGTCAGGCCGCGGTGAAACGGCCCCTTCCCCTGAGGTTCCCAAAGGTTCTCTGGAGTCCTTCAGAATACCTAGACCCTCTCGCTCGCGTCGTGAGACAATCCGTAAGGAAGGGCTTGGGCCGTTTTCGACTTCCGGGGGCCGTACACGAGACCGTCAACAAACTACTCAGGACGAAAAGCCAGTCCTAAGGAAGGGGTCGAGACCTCGAGGGGCCCATGTCATGAAAAGATATGTCGGGGATCTGGAGAGCATGAGGACGTCAACGACATTTCAAAAACACCGACCCCCGCCAGGCCCATGCTGGGCGCCAGATCGGTGTACACGCCCTCCTAGCTCGGCAAAGGAGGCATATGTGATCCTGGGCCCAGGATAGGTATAGCCAGGGTCGGTCCAGATCTATAACTCTCGTCCCCTCACGGAGGTTTCCAGATAGTCGGAGGAAGTCCGCCCACGCCGCTCGCCGCTCCCAGGGAGCAGGATCTGAGGCAGCGGGGAGCCCACGGCTGCGGTCGGAGTCGGTGCCAACCCGAGAGCTGCGCAGCTCCAAAAATCCCTGGACGCC